AACCATACAGACAAAAAAAAGAGCAGTGGTGGGTAACGGGGTGTGACTACAAACTGGTTATGTTTTCCCCCCCTAGGTGATAAAAATGTTCTGGAATTACTTACTAATGATGTTGCAAAACCTTATAAATATACTAAAACTCAACTGTGTATTTTAAAATGATAAACTTTATGTGTGAATTATGTATCAATTTAAGAACAGCATGAGTTAAGTATTATTTTTGTCCCCATTTTACAAATATCCTAACTGAAATAAAGAGGTTTTAGTTTTGTGCCTACAATTCAAATCCAAACACATTGGTCTCAGTACCTGCGCTTTGTTATAAATACTTTTTTTTTCTTGGACACCGAGAAGACTCAAGCAAATATCTGTTAAGGTATTCTAGAAAAGTGCCCTGCTATCCCTGACAACGGGTGCAGGCAGGACTGAGTCTGCATTTCCTGTGTCTTGCCATGAACACAAACACAACCACTGAAGCTCTACAAGTCATCTTGCACCCATGAAGGGGGGCCTACAGCAGGGGTGTCGAACTCATGTTCATCGGGGGCCACATCAGCCTAGTGGTTGCCTTCAAAGGCCAAATGTAACTTCAGGACTGTATAAATGTAACTACTCCTTAACAGTTAAGCAAGAGCTCGGTGCTGCCACTGGATAGAAACCAGGTGGAGGGCCAGATTCAGCCCATAAGCCTTGTGTTTGCCACCTGTGGCCTACAGGAAACAGTGAAGCCAAACTGGACTTGAGCTACTGAAGGAAACCTACCATCCGAATTATTTGTGTGTGAGAAAAGGAGGCATCTCCCTATTGGTAAAATCACTATTGGTTATAACAGAATACAATCCTAAATTATAACCTTACTTCTAATCATTTTAACTCATTACATTCCATCTTCACTTCTCTAGTTTCCTAGCATCAAATTGATAAACAAGTTTACTTGATAATAAGCTTTGCTTTAACAAGCACAATGGATAAAGTTAAAAAATATAAGAGGAACTTCCAGAAGTTCCCCCGTGTGTGAACTAACAATTATGAATTAATCTGTATTTGGGAAATATGCTAATTCTAACAATCTACAAACTGCCTATAAAAATGGTGTGTATTTAATGGCTGCTCAAAACACAGATTAATTTTTTGGAGATCAGGACACCAGTGCGTATGCAATGTACCTTTATACTAGTCAAAAGAAAAAAAAAGTTTAGAGGTTGTAGTGACTTTTTTTATAAAACAGCTTTTTATAATCTGCATTTTCATGTTTTTAAATTTTTATGATGTATTTCATTGATTATGCCATTACAGTTGTTCCATTTCCCTTCACTCTCCTCCACCCTGCACACTTCGTCCCCCCACATTCCCTTAGCTTCTCCATTTCCCACACTACTCTCACCCTCCCCTATTTTTCTCCCCATGACCTATGTTACTTATTCTCTATATCTTCTCCTCACTTGTCCTCCTTCCATTCCCGTTGCTAACTCTCCATGTGATCTCCATTTCTGTAGCTCTGCTCCTGTTTTAGCTATCGGCTTAGTTTGCTTTTGTTTTAGATGTGGTTGTTAATAACTGTGAGTTTGCTGTCCTTTCACTGTTCATCTTTTTTATCTTCTTTTTCTTAGATAAGTCCCTTTAACATTTCATATAATAAGGGCTTGGTTGGTGATGATGAACTCCTTGAATTTGACCTTATCTGAGAAACACTTTATCTGCCCTTCCATTCTAAATGAAAGTTTTGCTGGATAGATCAATCTTGGTTGTAGGTCTTTGGATTTCATGACATGGAATACTTCTTTCTAGCCCCTTCTTGCCTGTAAGGTCTCTTTTGAGAAATCTGCTGACAGTCTGATGGGAAGTCCTTTGTAGGTGACTGTCCCCTTATCTCTTGTTGCTTCTAGGATTCTCTCCTTCATTTTAATCTTGGCTAATGTAATGATGATGTGCCTTGGTGTGTTCCTCCTCGGGTCCAACTTCTTTGGGACTCTCTGAGCTTCCTGGATTTCCTGGAAGTCTATTTACTTTGCCAGATTGGGGAAGTTCTCTTTTATTATTTGTTCAAATAAGTTTTCCCCTTGTTGGTCTTCCTCTTCCCCTTCTGGTACCCCTATAATTCGGATGTTGGATTGTTTAAAGACGTCCTGGAGGTTCCTAAGCCTCTCCTCATTTTTTTTGAATTCTCGTTTCTTCATGCTTTTCTGTTTGGTTGTTTTTTTCTTCCTTCTGGTCCACTCCATTGATTTGAGTCCCAGTTTCCTTTCTATCACTATTGGTTCCCTGTGTATTTTCCTTCATTTCACTTAGTGTAGCCTTCATTTTTTCATCTAATTTGTGACCAAAATGAACAGGTTCTGTGAGCATCCTGATCACCAGTGTTTTGACCTGTTCATATATAGGTTGGCTATCTCTTGGTCGCTTAGATGTATGCTTAGATGTATTGGCTCTGGGGCTCTGATTTGTTCTTCCGTTTGCGCCGTAAGTTTTTGGTGTGGTCGCACCTGTTAGATAGTGAGGGGCGGAGCCTTAGGTGTTCACCAGGGAGGGCAACCAAGTGGCTGTATGTGAAGGTGGGGTCAGAGAGGGAATAAAGGAGGTTGCTCTCTCTTGGATTTCGGCCCCCTCTGCCACTTCCCACAAGCAAACTGGGCCCTTCTGGTGCTGGTTCTCGAGTGGGTGGGCTTGTGTAAGTTCTAGGACCCTGTGGGTCTCTCCAATGAATGCTCCTGTGAGGCTAGGAGTCTCTCCCAGCACCTGTGCCCCCCAAAATGTTTTCAATTGGTGCTTTTAGGCTTTATTTCCCATCACTGGGTCCCTGGGTTGTGTGGTCTGTCTTGCTGCCTGTTTTCGCCTTATTTGCGTGTGAATGTGTGACTGTGGTCAGCCAGTGGCCTTGCGCGCCTCACTGGGTCTGCTTGTTTCTTCCCCTCACCCTAGGTCTGCTAGCCCCACGCTACCGGCTCACCTGGGTGTGTTAGCCACCGCTTTTTCCTGCTGCAACCCTCTCCGCCAGCCACCGACTCCACTCCCTCTTACCGGTCTGGATGAATGGTTGTCAGACTTCCTTACAGACCAATTTCCTGTATGTTTTGGTTGTGTTTTTGTTTCTACATCTTTGTTGTCCTTAATTTTGATTGTGTGAGGAGGCACAGTGTTTCCACCTACGCCTCTACCTTGGCTGGAAGTCCAGAAGTTGTAGTGACTTTTACTACATGTTGTCATCTGTGTATAGAAGGTCTTATGCCTTGCTTAATGTCCACAATGTTTTAAAATAAGATAATTTGTAACTCTACCAGGGTTCTTTAACAGCAGTCTCTCCTTTTCTGAGGTACACGCTGTTTTCTTAAGCCACCTTTACTCCTATATCACAGAATATATTGTATGTTGTAAAATATTTCATATCTCTTTTTTTAAAAAAAGGATTTATTTCTAGAGAGGGGAGAAGGGAGGGAGAAAGGCAGGGAAAATAACAATGTGTGGTTGCCTCTCATGTGCCCCCTACTGGGGACCTGGCCCACAACCCAGGCATGTGCCCTGACTGGAAATCAAACCAATGACCTTCAGTTCACAGGCTGGCGCTCAATCAACTGAGCCACACCAGCCAGGTCCCTTCTCTACCTCTTAATTTAAGCACGTGTTATTCCGCCCCATCTTTCCTTCTGACATTCACTCTCTTTGTAATCTCTAATCTCAAAACCTCAAAAGTGACATTTTGGAGCCATTACTTCTATAATGGCTCTACTCATCAATCAAATGAAGACTACATGGACCAATCATTTCAAGAGGACAACTATTATGACCCTAGAATCAGCTGGTTCCAGGACTCTTCTGGCATTGATATCTTAAAAGTTCCTAAGATAACAAGTACAGTCAGAAGAAAACACAAAATTATGCTCCCTAAAATACGAGATTATTTGTCATCACCCTGTATTACTATACTTAATCAGCACCTTTGCTCATGCTACGCTTTCTAGAGAATGGCATCCCTGAGTTTCTGCCTGAACATATTCTACCCTTCCAGCAAAGCCTAATTTAAGTGTAATCTTTTCTATGACGCTTCCATCACCATCTTATGCAGTATCACATTGTTCATATTGTTAAAATCTATATGGTTTCAGTCCCAGGTTTGTCTGGTTCCTCACCATCTATGTCTTTCTACTAAAACTAACACCACAAGTATCTTACTACCTAGACTTGGTACTTGAGGTCCTCCAGGAAAGTATGGGAAAAGTTATGTAACAGAGAAACCTCCCTCAGATCTTTTCAAAAGGGGGAAAGTAAATGATTGAGTACATTTAAATTTAATTCTTGACCATTTTTAACAGAAGTGATTCAACTGGCATATAATACCCATAAACTACACAAGGATTCCTGAACAGGATGAACTAAGGCGCCACTTAATATCAACATGACAGCTCAATACAAAACTTGAGGTTATGTGACAACAAAGAACTATCCTAATGAAGCCACCCTTTTCTTCTGAGTTAATGAAAAGACAGAAGGCGATGTGCACACCTAAGAGTAGGCTGAGGATTGTCTTTAATGTTGTACAAAGTACTTTAATACTGTGATTCTGAAAAGATTAAGACTCCCACAGACCCAATGGAAGTGGAGATATGGAAGTAAATCTGAGGATATAGAAGGAACTAGTTTAATACAAGGTATTGCTGTTTAAACCACCCCTAAACTTTCTTTCTGAAAATGTGTAGGAAAAAAAGGAGATTAAAAAATCCCACACATTCTCATCTGCATCCTTAGTGTTTTAATAGGATAGAAAAGCATTTCAGGGATTTTCTTGGAAGCAGTTTACAATATATTCTCAATAAGCATCATGCAACTGTTTTTGAAAATTTCAATCAGAAAGATTCAGGAATTTAGCTTTAATCAGGTCACCTATTCACATCTAAACAAGTTGTGTAAAACTTCATCTGCATAAAAACATATACAGTAATCTAAAGAATCAATAGATGAAAGGAGTGAACTGGAAAATCCACAGAAACATGCCACAGGGGCCTCACCTTCCACAGTGACCTCAATTTCCGGAACTTTCGAATTACTCCCAGGGCTGCGTGGTCTTTTCGGGGACTGCAAGGCTGTAAAGTGAGCACATAATTACCTTTGCATATTATAAGAAAAAAACAGAAGGGGATGCTTTATAGAGCAGAGTATTAAAATTCATACAGTTTGGCTCTTTTCAAAGAAACCTGAAGAATTAAACTGCTTGTGTAATCCTCCACATGAGTCTCAACAAAGCTGTGGAAACATGAATGAAGGAGGATTGCAAATGTGAAATTTCCAATGAATGTGTGAAAAAACAAAAGGTCCATTAAATAAAATAACTTAAAAAATATTGGCCAATGATTCAGTATGATTTGGGTAATGTTGAAAAATAATGTTTTAATGCACTGAAGTATATATATAATAAAGAGCATATACAATCTCTTACCTTTAGTGTTTATTTTACTAGCCATTCCAGGAGGCAAGTAGGAAATAACTAGTTCAGGTCTAGAGAAAAAACCAAGAAGCATTACAGTAACCAGTGTAATATTGGTCTTCACAGCCAGTAAGAATGATCATGACCAATGTTTTTTGTAAGGGTGATCCTAGGATCATTCTGTAATGCAGCAATAATGCCTGTATTTCTGGACCAAAACCCTCCCTTTTCCTTCCCACAACTATTTGCTACATAATTTTAGGAAGAGCAAATAACTTCTTTCATAGAAATACAAATGAACTCTATAGTTTCTTCAGCTACTAAAATTCTGGAGACATGTAAATAAAAAATTTAATTCATGAAATTCAGTTGTCCATAAGTTCGATCAGCATTTTCATCTTCCATTCAACTATTTAGGAATACTAAGAGACATAGTGTCTCGAATCAACTTGAACACCACCACTGGGAGGCAGGGGTTCCAATTCTCCTTGTACTAGTGAAGAAAAATAAAGTACAAGTGAAAGGAGTTGCAAAGGTAATGGAAAAGATCAGGACTGTAGCTCAGAGACATGCTTTTCCATCATGAATGTCAAAGCATTAGCTGTCACATATAGCTAGAAAATAATTTAAATAAAAATAAAATTTTATGATTTTAATTCCAAAAATGACTATGAAAGCAAAAACAACTTACTTTTTAACAACAAACTTGATTTTATTACTGCCACGAACAATCCTTTCAAGTCGTGGAATTCCAAACCAGGTAGGGCTTCGAAAGGGAATTCCCTCCGGCAAGCCTTCTACGTAAAGAAACTCAGGATTTGATTCAAACACAGGGTATGGTACTTTTACTGCTTCTGTGAGTCCAAGAGCTTGAGCTGAAATTGTAAGAAAATATAACTTATAGAAGGTAAAGTTTTGTACTCTTACAATATAACAATACAGTCTTCATATATATTGCACAACATTCACCACAATTAATCCAGTTAACATCTGGATATTATCAAATGCGTTATGCAAAAGTTCTGTATAATCTGTTAATATCTATTTAATATGAAGGCATTTGCTCAGTATATTGTGCAAAACTGAAGAACAAGGCTAAAAGGTAAGTACTTTTAGGATGAACATTTTAACACTTCAAATCAAAAGAACAGTTTATATTATTAGTCAAAATTATTTCTGTGCTCTGGGCAGAAATGAACTATATAGCCATTCCATACTGAAATGACACGTACCCAGCCTTTGTGTTGTCAACTAGGTGCAAATTTGCTGTTCAAAAAAATATGCTGCATATGATGCATCTAGGCAGAACCTCAGCTACAGATCAGAGGCAGAGGAATTAAGATTCCTGATCTAGGACAAAATCCTCATTACTAAGTAGTAAAACGAGGACAGAAACCGCCCATGAAATCCTGCCATCACTCTCACTCCTTATTTCCTTTTTCATGACAGACACACCCAATAAACTAAAACACTCTTGCTGAGCCTCCTCAGAATCCTCAAGACAGGCTCCAGGAAACGGCTATCAACAAATCTATGTTGAAACACAGGGTGAAACCTATTTGCCGTTCAATATCAGCCAGATTTATAGTAAAGACAGTGGAACTGGGATTTATCCCACCTCCAACCTTCTCTCCCATTTTGACATATGAGAAAACTGAATCCAAGAGAAATAAAGTAACTTTTGGGTTAAGTAGTGAATTTAGTAGCAGAAATAAAAAACCACTCAGCTTCTGGGACCATCCTTCAGGTCCTGAACTGCTATAATTCATTCAGAACACTGCCTTTCATTTGTTTTTTAAATTAAAACATAATCACCAAGTTTTACTTACCAAATTTCAAATTAAAAATCTCTTCCACTTGCTTTCGTAGCTTAGTAATTCTGACATTCCAATCTTCTTTGACTAGAAGGCAAAAATAAATCTAATTAACAATGCTCCTTGCTGGATCTGACACAAAATTAGATTGGAAGCTGTTTTTGTATTAGTTTTAGGGTACAATCTAATGATGCTCTTAATTCTATTTTAAGATCAAAAACTTTGGGTCTTAAGGAAGAGAATGACTTCGTATACTTGTCAAATATCAGAAGAACTGAGGAAAACAGAATTCGAGTTTAAGTTCACACTGTAAATAAAGCACTTGCTCCCAGGACTGCCCTAAATGAGTGGCACTCGAACACTCCTCCGGAGTCACATCAGAGAATCCTGTGGGGACTGGAAGGCCAGCTGTGCAAGGCTGTCCAGACTTCCAGGTTCAACCACAACAGCTTCACTTTCCATACTGGCATTCCTTGTTTTATTGAACAGGTATGTGCCCAGAAATCCACACAAAACACAACTTCACTAATCACAGCAAGAAATAAATGGTAGTAAAGAAACGGAAATTGAAGAAATAAATGTTAAAGAGGTTAGAGAGTTGTCACTCAAAACTACACATATTGCCCTGGCTGGTATAGCTCAGTGGATTGAGCGCGGGGGGCCTGCGAACCAGAGGATCGCGGTTCGATTCCCAGTCAGGGCACATGCCTGGGTTGCAGGCCAGTTCCCAGCAGGGGATCCATGAGAGGCAACCATGCATTGATATTCTCTCTCTCTCTCTCTCCTTCCCTTCCCTTCTAAAGATAAATAAATAAAATCTTTAAAAAATATATTTAAAAAAATCTTCACCTTTAAAAACTACACATATCTACAACCCAGTTTATTTCCTTATCCCTTATTATAAGACAACCACTCCTTTTTAAATGTAATGTAAAAATGGAGAAAATATAAGTCATTGTAGAAGACATTTCGGATGTCACTCACTGGGACAGATAATCAGGGCATGTTTGGTGAAGTTAAGGACAAAGCAGATGGATCTGGGGGGCACTGGAGGGATGACTGGGGCATTCGGTAAGGAAAGGAGGGGGCACGAGCACAAGGAAGAGCAGAGAGTACACAAATCGCGGAAGTGTGAAAGTCACTACTGTTCACTGACAAAGGCAGTGGAAGACATTGGGAAAGTTCTGCAAATACTGCTAAAGTAGATGGCCTCAGAAAGTCTTTTAACATTTTTTTTTTTACTTTTACTGTACTAGTATCTCAAGGGTTTAACATGGTAACTTAACCATTCAACCAGAGTAACTTTGGTATAAATCAAATCTGAATTATTACCATAAAGATGTCTAGCTTCTCCTTTCCCATGGCAAAAAGCTGCCATTAACTTGTTGCTCAGTCTCCTGTTCTGCCCCACCCCCCACTTCCTTCTCTGGTTATCTGCTACTCTAATAAAAACAATCTCTGAACTACCTCCTCACGAGAGCCAAGTAAACCTCCCCATTCTTCCCATTTAAAGTGCAATTACTTGGCTAGAAGCTCAATTACTTGTCTAGCGTGACAACTTTCTCACAGCTGACATACATTTTTTACCAGATTGAAGGCAAAGTATACCCACAGTGTATTTAAGCATACAACTGTTACCTAATAGCAGGCCATGCCAAGAATTAAAAAGACATTGCTGATGACAATAGTGGCTCACAAAATCCTTGTCATGTAGTCTGAGACTTGAATTGGCCCAGCAAAATGCTAATGCCTGGTTCACTGGCAGAGCAAGTTAAGGTTTTGTTGGAATGAAGAATGATAACCATCAATTCTTTCCAAAATCTATGAATAACAACAGGAGGCCAAACATCAATGACTCGAGAATGTTAGAGAATTGAGATTCTTCTTTTGATAATAGGCCTTAAATCCTCTATGCTAGAAGATGGCAAATCAAGTACTAGTGAAAATGACACAGTTCAATCCTTGGAGTAACATCCATGATTCCTGTACACCCTTTCAATGACATATGTTTAACTTTTTCCATTTGCAGTCAATTATTACAACTGCCCCTAATAAAAGCAGTGATCAATCACATTAATCACAGCCTTGAATTTGAGGTCTTAAGAAATGAGGTTCATACACAGACTTTCATCATATTCTTCTTTATTCATATTAAAGCTCTACCCTTGGGGGTATTTTTTCCATTACTTCCCTTGGTAAAGTCTGTGTCATCTCTAATCTTCAATTCATCACCAATACTTTGTTTCTTTGCCTAAATCATAAGCATGCTGAGGAGGCCACTGTGCTTTGATGCGCAACTTCATTATTAAACATTGACTATACCTCCTCCCCTGCTAAATTCCTGGCACAAGATAATTTTTCTTCCCTAGTTCAGTACTTCTCAACCACTTCTCACGCCATGATAAAAACAAAATTATGCAATCCATTTGGCATATTGGTTGACCTTTACCAGTTACCACTGGTACACTACAAGCCGAAGGATCAGTATTTTAGTACAAACACCCAACCTTAGCGTTTACAAGAATGATAAGCTGCATGAATTCAGAAACAACCACTGGTTCTTAGCAACGGACGTCCCCAAGGTTGTAAAAGTTGTGGTCACCTTTCTGACATTATGTAATGGTAAACAAATAGAAAGAAACAAATGTACAGAAATAAAAGTACACTATGGTTCGAATGAAGAATATAAAACCATTAATATGACTGAGACTGACGCTCACGGTTCTTTTTACTGGGCAGGGACATCAGTGCAGCTGCTGGAATTACAGTGTTCATCATTTAGAAAACAGGATCTGTGTGACTACAGATTCAGATCTAAACCCACATGGTCTGAATGGTCTGACACATCAGCACATTTGGGACCAAGCACTTGAAATGTGGCTAGTTCAAATTAGACACAGTGTAAAATACACACAAGCACTCCAAATAAAATATAAACATATAAAATATGTAAATTTCTTCACTGTGTATTTTTTATATAATTACATGTTGAAACATAGATTTGGCTACTAGAAAACTTAAAATGATATATGTGGCTTGCATTTGTGACAAACCTTTTATTCTTACTGAATACCAGTGGTCTAAATTTAAAGCTCAACTTTTCCAAAACTGCTTATGCTTAATTCATACTGATAAATCAAACATATGCTATTGAGCTTCCTCAAAAGATATTTCTGGAAAAAAAGAGAAATTTCATCACTTAAAAAAATTTTTTTTTAAATTTTATTTATTTACTTTTACACAGAGAAGGGAAAGAGAAAGAGTGGGAGAGAAGCATCAATGTGCCTACAAACCAAAAGGGTCTCCAGTTTGATTTCCAGTCAGGGCACATGCCTGGGTGTCAGGCCAGGTCCCCAGTAGGGGGGTGGGAGGCAACCACACATTGATGCTTCCCTCCTTTCTCCCTCCTTTTCTCTGAAAACAAATAAATAAAATCTTTTTTAAAAATGTTAAAAACAATTTATCTAATAAGCTTTTAAAAAAGGAATTCACAATTATTTTACCTGGTGTATTCGTTCTTGGCTGAGTAACTTCAGTAGTACTGTGAGTCAGAAGTTCTGGTCTGTAAAAAGTCAGTTGAAATTAGTAACAGAGCATTTAGGAATGCCTTAAAGGCTTTCCCCACACATCTCTGCAGTGCTAATGATTTTCAAAATGGCTCATTCTGCCTTCTTGTAGAGTGGAAAGTATCATTCTGGTGACTACAGATTATTCAGAAAACAGCAATTTTAAGAGATGCCCATGGGACCACCTTTGTGTCCTCAAAGGTGTTTTAAGCGTAAATGTACAAAACCATTCCCAGTTCAACCTTCTGTTTCTAAACCTCAGATGAACTATATACCACAACACAGCTAGAAACATCCAGCTGTGCCATCCTAAAGTTGCTACTCCTTTCTACAATTAGTACAACAAACATACACAAATACACAATTCCCAAAGAGCAAGCAAGTATCAGAGTCTACCCCCACCACAATCATTCTGTAGTAAAGACAGGCCTTCTGTTCACAGTCCCTCCCTGCTCCTGAACTGTCCACTCTGCTATCCTTCAAACCGAGGCCAAAACAGCATTTCTAAAATGCAAATCCAAATTATTTAATAACTCCGATTGTATTAGGACATAAGGCCTTCCCTCCCCCTGGCTACCACCATCTACCACGCCATGCCCACAAGGCATGTCACTTATTCTACACAGAATCATACAGTCATGTAAACATTAAAGTACGTTTGACACCTCCCTGCCCCTACTTATATTTCCTTTACTTGAAACACCATTTCTCCAATCTCTAGGTACAACTGATCAATCTACATGCTACTGCTTGTCTCTTCCCCCAAAGTGCTTAGTGACATTTTATTGCATTTATCTCTGTAATAAGCCTTCCAAAAACAATTTTGTATGTCTGATGCCTGATAGTAAATAAGCATTTGCTCAGTAAATGAATCTAAAGTAACACCTTAATTCTGAATACCAGAGAGGGGAATAAAAGACCCATTTTCATGAAACCACTCTTTTCTTAAAGACAGCATTAAATTTGTTTCTGCAGGTTATAATCTTACCTTTTAATAACAAACTTAATTCGATTGCCCACTTGAATGATTTTTTCCAGCCTTGGGATTCCATACCATGAGGGACTTCTAAAAGGAATGTTTTCCGGAAGTCCTTCAACGTAGAGATCATTAGGATGTGCCTCAAATTTCTGGTAAGGCACAGCCTTGGCTTCAGTGCTCCCCAAAGCTTCAGCTGTAACAAAAGAAAAGCAATTCAGGAGACTAAGTTTTCACTGAAATCAAATTTTAGTATAATCCAAAGCAATGTACATGTCAACTTTTTAAAAAGTTAAGTATACCCTGGAAACACATATAGTAAGTACTAAAATAAAATAGACTTAATGCAGCAAATACAAGTACAAAGGGCCCCTGATCAAGGGTGACTTATGGCAGATTTAATGTTTCCTGATTCTAAGACCATCTTAATAATGCTAAATGTCATAAAAATTTTTCATTATCTTTAAAAGATTATCAAAAGAAACTTTGACACAATAAAGATCATAACTTAAATACTACTTTTTTTAATATTTGAAGAGAGGTTTTTGTTAATGTTTTGAGTATAATAATTCTTTTACTAGCTCCTGCAACTGTGAGATTAATATTCCTTACCCTTTAAACAACATGAATGCGTCATTTTACAAGCAAATAACCCTCTGCGAAGAATTTATGGAATGGGAAATAAAAATAGTAAGCAGAGACTGGTTTAGACTAAAAGAGACATATCAACCAAAGTTAGTGTATGAACCTTATTTAAATCTACATTCAAAAAAGCAAAGCTTTGAAGGTACTTTCTGGATGAATGAGGAAACTCAATGAAGGGCTGGATGAGAGTGGATACAAAGTCACAGTCAATTCTGTCAGGTATGATAATAAATGACACTGTGCATGTTTATAAGAAAATGTCCACACTGTCATGGATACACACCAAATAAGAAAAATGACACAATACCCAAAAGAGGTAAAGATGAACAAATGTGGACAAATCTTAATGATCACTGAATTTAAAATTGGGTATATTTTTCTACTGTTCAACAGGTGTAAAATTGAAATTTTAAGATGTAAAAGTGAAAGTCCTAATCCCTGCTCTGTAACCACATCCAAACATAGTTTTAATAAATGAGTCAAACAGCCCTGACCAGTGTGGTTCACTGGGTTGAGCGTTCCACAAAGTGAAAGGTTGCTGGTTCAATTCCCAGTCAGGGCACGTGCCTGAATTGCAGGCCAGGTCCCCAGTTGGGGGTGTGAGAGAGGCAACCAATTCAAGCTTCTGTCTTTCTCTTTCTCCCTCTCTTCCCTTCTCTAAAAGTAAATAAATAAAATCTTTAAAGTAAATAAACAAGAGTCAAACTATTTACACAGTTATCAGCATGTATAGGTTTCCCTTGTATTCTGTATGGTACATTTAAATATTCTACAATTTGATGGTTTATCAGTGCCTCCCTGAAGTATTAATCTGCACCTCTTTGACTCTTAGATTTGACTTTATTCTCAAATGTAAACACCTTCTGTCTGATTTTCTTCCTTTATTTCATTAGCACCAAATCTGAGGGGCTCAAGTACAGAATCTCTTTGATATGAAGAGGCTTTCACACTCATCTGGGAGTAGTATTAATTACAGTTCAATATAACAAGAAAAGGATATCATCATAATTCTAACAAACTTTCTATAAAATAACAAAAGAACAGCTGAGGAAGAGCGTAAGTTTCAGAAAACAGAAATACCCACTGTGTCGGTGACCCATCAATGAGGTCTCCTCTCTGTACAGTTACCCTGTCTCGCTGGTCCCCTTGTTCTGCTTCATTGCCCCCCCCCCCGACTACTTAACACCTTATGTAACCAATATTCAATTGCTGCCTTACTATGTGCATCTTTCCCTAATTTACTAATAAATGCTTTCTGGGGGGAGGCTGCTGTCTTCTGCTCGGCTGGGCTGTCGGCACCTGACACACAGGCGTTCACAGGTGCTGAACAACTGGTTCCTCGGCTGCTGTGGTGAGAATTTACCAACTGTTCGTGTTTGACAGTCATAGAGAATCTAAGTTTTTGTCTTCCTCTTCCAGGAGACTTAATTTAAAGAAAGCAGCATTTCCGCTGCCTTCTCACACTCTACAGTCGCTAGACTGCTGGACCATTACTGCCAACACAAAAAAGCTAGGCTTTTGTTGTTTGTGATGTAATAATATATAAACTCTTATCTATTTTCTTACCTCTGCTACAATGCCAAAATATTTTCCACTGGCCACTTTTTCTTTCTTTTTTGAACTATTTACTTACTTATTTAATCCTTACCCAAAACCCTTTTTATTTCCACTGGTTTTAGGGAGAAAGAGGAACACTGATGTGAGAGAGAAGCACAGATGGTTGCCCCCTGCACACGCCCCAGAACTAGGCATGTGCTTACGGCCCACACTCCAACCAGGCGAACTCATCGACTCCTCTTCCTTGCGTGGCACAAAAAGAAGCTTGCTTGGCAAGAAGCAATGATGCCATTGGGCTTGGCTGCTTCTTTTACCAGGCTCATTTCCAGAACTAAAATGTGAGGGCAAAGTTTAAGCCTGTTCATGCAGATACTCATTATTAAATGTCAGCTACTCATGGATTACAATGACACTATAGTGGATCTCTAATGATAAACAATGTTCTTCATCTGATTTATTTTACTAAATTTCTTGGAAATACAGTTATTTTTAAAGTGGTGAAGATTTTTAGTTTACTGTTAATTAGCTGATTTTGACAGATTAAGAAGACACATTATCACTAAGGTTCTACATTTATGTTCGAATGTTGAAGAAGGAAAAAATCTAAAATTTCTATTTTTTCCCCTGATGTGTTAAATTCTCAGGGAGTACAATAAGCTACAAGGTAAGTACATAAATTCTGCAAACACCACACAGTGACCTCAGTTTGTAACTGCCACCTGAGCTGCACCTAAAAAATGCTTTACTGAGACTTTAAGACCCAATGCCAAGCACTCCTCTTGGAAACCACAGGACAAACAAGAATCCTCACTCGGGAGACTTTCCATGCCCATGAGAGCTGTGGCAGCTCTGTACTTTGTTCTTGTCAGTGTTGAGACTGAATGAGGTACACGTACACCACGTGACAGAAAGGCCCAGTGATTTCTGAGAGCTTTACAAGACACTTTAATGGCATGGATCTACTCAATGAGTATTAGTTTAGCACCTGACCAAGCACCAAGCAGAGCTCTAATAGAAAACCAGACAGACAAGATCAGTTAGGGTGCTCATATCTACTGTGTTATGAGTGAGAGGAAATAGACAACCATTAGAGTTTTGAGGAAAATAAAAGGGTGAGGAGTTACAGTACGTGTGGCAGTTTATGCTAGATGGTACTCAATGAAGACCTCCCCTATGTGGTCATTTACATTGAGACATAAATAAAAAGGAGAGGCACAAAAAGACCAGAGGTAAGGGTATTCTGGAAATAACACTACAAGTGCAACAGTTCCAAAAAAGTATGAGGAAAACACAGAGAACAAGTACATGGTCTTTAGAGCTGGTGTGAAGAGAGCAAGTGGGATAGGGAATGAGGTGACATTAGAAGAAAGGCAGGATGGCCATGATCAGGGACTGTGGAGTTTATTCCAAGTACAAAGAAAAGCCAATGAGTACCCAACAGGGAAGTGACATGCACCATTTTATGTTTTTAATGCAATTAAAATCTGGCCACTTTATGGCACTGGCTTTGAATACAGTTGACAGACAGCAGTGAGGAAGAAAAGAGTATGAATTTCGGGTATGTTTTAAACATAGTCAGCAGGAGGCCTTGTGAAAATAAAAAATAAAGACTAACTAGCTTCTAGGGGATTTGGCTAGCACAACTGGGTTGAGTGAGGTGCCAATGGGTATACCAGGGAACAAACACGTTGCAGCAGGGAAAACCAAGGTCTCTATTTAGAACATGGGAAGTCGGAAGAGGTATCAAATAGGTGGGTGAATATAAAGGTCTGGTGGTAAGAGAAGTTTTTAGGACTAGAGACTTCAATTTGAAAGCCACCAGGATATAGACAATATGCTAATTTAAAGATCCATGATGAAGTGTGATTACTTGTGGAAAAAGCGAAGAAAAACAGGAAGGGCTCAGGACTGAGCTACAGAGAACCATTCCCAAAATTTAAAAAGTGAACAAAATGGAGGTGCCATCAAAAGAATGAAAATGAGCCCTGACTGGTATGGCTCAGTGGACTGAGTGCCAGCCTGTGAACCAAAGGCTCACAGGTTCAATTCCCACTCAGGGCACATGCCTGGGATGCAGGCCAGGTCCCCAGCTGGGGTGCGAGAGAGGCAACTGCACACTGATGTTTCTTTCCTTCTCTTCCCCTTGCTCTAAAAAGAAATAAATAAAATCTTAAACAAACATAAAAAAAGGAATGAAAATGACAGCCAAAAGGAAAAAACTAAGAGTCAAGAAAGTTTAAAACTGTCCCATTATATTAGATTTAAAAGAGAAAAATAATAAGAAAAACAATTCCATTGAATGCTGCTAAGAAGGATAAAAGCAGAAGAGAAGGTGACTTTTGCCAAACTCGTTGCTGTGAGAAACAAAGTCTAGGCATTTTCAGTGTTTAGGGATGGAAGCACAGCAAGCACAACAAACAAGATAACCACAGTAGTGTGGTCACGTGACATTTTCAGATAACCACCAGTGGATCATACCGCACTCCAGTGATACACAGCCACTGAAGGTCTCCTCTATTCCAGAGAAGCAACTAAACATTATTAGAAGATCCCAAGACAAAATGATTCTAAAACTGTGACATGTCCTATGCCGAATAAACTATACTGTATTAAAAAATATTACACAATAAGAGTACCTGGGGGTTTGTTACACTATTTTCTTTTATACAGGTTTAAAACTGTTCATAATAAATATGTATTTGAAAACAACAGAAGAAAACTGGAAAAATGAAACTGAGTCATATTCACTGTATTTACTTTCATAAAGCAAATTTAGAAAAATTATTCTATGTCATACTTTAGTTGATGGAAAATTAGACTTACCAAATTTTTTGCAGAAAAGCTGATCTACCATCTTTCGTAATTTAGTGATTCTGGCATACCATTCTTCCTTTACTGTAAGAATAACAAATATAAAAATTTCCTCAATTTGATGGCATTAATATATTACAATTTTAAAATAAGCAGTATTATTTTTCTATTCTACTAAAATTATTTGTAAGATTTCAGAATATGTTTGTCAAAACAATGCTGACACTGAATAGAATAAGAAAAAACAAAACATGGACAAAATGGAAATTTATAACTGAAGAGTAATTTTACATAGGTACTCTAAAGTGTCATAATTAAAGGTAGGAAAGAGTAAATTCAGTTTACTCAAGAACAGCTGGTAGGAGTTTTTTGCAATGATAAATTTAGACATTTAAGACTCTAGTAATCATTCCATTACACAAACTCTTAAGTGATACAAACTGTTTTTATTTATTGATTTGAGAAACATTAATTTGTTGTTGCACTTATTTATACATTCATCAGTTGGTTCGTGTATGTGCCTCGACCAGGGACTGAACCTGCAACCTTGGTGTATGAGGACGATGGTCTAAGCAAATGAGATACATGGCCAGGGCTTGAACTCTGTTTTATATATGCACCTCCACTCCACTCCAGAGCAACAGCAAGCCTAAGAACACATCATGACTGTATTTCCTTCAAAATACATCTAACAAACAAGTGATTATACCAGTGGCTATATTGCTTTAAGTAGTATACCTTTTTATGTTCTGGGTATAATAATGAATGATTATTCAATTTACTAATGTAGGCTTTGGCAATAAATCAGTAAATATTTTATGCCAGATAACATCTGCATTTCAAAAATAGAATAGACACATCTTTGCGGGGTGACTCAGGTGGTTGGAACATTGTCCAGTACTCCAAAAGGCTGCGGGTTTGATGTCCGGTCAGGGCACCTACCTACATTGTGGGTTTGATCTCCAGTTGGGGCTAGTATGGGAGGCAACTGATTGACGTTTCCCTCCCACTTTGATGCTTCTCTCTCTCTAAGCAATAAACACATTCTTGAGTGAGGATTGGGAAAGAAAAAGTACAACAGACATGCTTCTTTAGTCTATCCAAAATTATGACGCAGACTTGCACTTATCTCCAATGGGTTATTAAAGAACAAAATGAGTTGATTCTTCTAGAGAGTAATGGACAATATTTTGACATCATGTATTTCCTACACATAATGTTCTGATTTCACACATGACTCTATTTCACACATGACTCTCCAGTCATGTGTGACCTACCTCCTGAAGCTGGTTTATCAAGCTGTAAGTCTTCACGTGTTGAATTCAGAAGTTCGTGCCTGCAAGGTGAGAAAAAGTACTAAATATTCACAAAGTAATACTGAGCAAAAACAGTAACTACTAGTACTTAAATATTTAATATTCAGTCATCAAGACCAGTTTAAAAAGACAATCAGAAGTCCTGAGTACAATTAAATCCTAATTTCTTGAGATTTCCTCAGAGTAATAAAGCTAAATGGTAACTGCACATCATTTCATAAGGTGTTTCATAGAGCCTACATCCTCAAAGAAAAAAAGTTAATTATGCAAACCAAAGGCATGTTATAAAAGCATAACACCAAAGGACAAACTACTAAAATTTTAAATGAGGTCCTTTAATTTTACACTTCATTTAAGATTACCTTACTTCAACATATCTATGAAGTCTGTCCAGTAAGTCGAGCCACTGTTAATGTAACTACAACAGTTTACACAGTATCAATGTAACCTGGCAGCCAAGGAGAGTGGACTGGAATGCACATTGTGAACAATGACAAATTCACTGTACGAGTCAGCAGGGGTGGTAGATGCTGCTCAGTGACCACATGGTACTGAGTGGCCCTCGCATTCAAAATGACTGAGCGAGCAGAGCAACTAATCTGCATATCAAGTTTTACATTAAGCTTGAACATTCCTCCGTGGAAACTACTCAGATGACTCAGAAGGCTTTTAGAGACAATGCAGAGAGTGGAGCGCAAATAAAAGCGTGGCACAAACGTTGGAAAGATGTTGAAGAACCTGTTGAAAGTGATCCATGTTCTGGAAGGCCTGCAACAAGTAGAATACTTGAGAATGTTGAATGTGTATGGGCTGCAATCAACAAAGATGGGCGACTGACAGTGTGAGAACTAGAAGCTCATCTGGAGATCCAAAAACTACTGTGTCTGAGATTTTGATGCAGGATCTCAGCATCAAAACAGGTCATGATGAAATTTATTCCATGGATTTTGCTACCAGAGCAGAAGGAACATCTTACTGCAGTTGCTAATGACTCGATTCAAACTGCTACCAACGAACCACATTTCCCAAAGAGGCTCATAGTCAAAGATGAATCATGGGTCTACAGTTAAGCGCTGGAAATGTTCCAATAGAAGTCACCTGGTTCTCCACATCCCAAGAAAGCATGGCAAAGTAGCAGAATGATCAAGACCATGTTAACACTTTTTTTTTTCCATTGGAAATGTGTTGTCCATCATGAGTATGCCCCCACAGACCAAACAATAAATAGGGAATACTACTACCACCTCAGTGTTCTTTGTCAGTGAGAGATGCAAACATAAATGGCTGCAGCTATGGGCAACTGGCGATTGGCAGCTTCATCACGACAATATACTTGTTCATGCATCACATCTCGTGCAGTTTTTTGGAGAAACTTTGAATCACCCAGGTGATTCATCCCCCTACGGCACAGATTTGATGCCCTGTGACTTCTGGCTTTTCCCAAAACTAAAATCACCTTTGAAAGGGAAGTGATTTCAGACTATCAATGAGATTCAGGAAAATATGAAGGGGCAGCTGATGGCAATTCCAACAAAGGGTTTTTTGCAGTGTTTACACAGTGGAAAAGATGCTGGGAGACCTGTGTGAGGTCCCAAGGTGCTGACTCTGAAGGAAACTGAGGCACTATTGTCCTATAGACAATGTTTCTTGTATCTTCTTCAATAAATACCTCTATTTTTCATATAACATAGCTGGATAAACTCTGGACAGGCATCATATAAATTAATTATAAAAATCCTATATACATTCCAATACTACCATTTGCAGGACAATATGCTCACTTTTAAGAATTTCCCCCAATAAAGAGCCCATAAAACATAATTTTTAAATCACATAATTTTTACAATCTTAACTTCCATATCCTTTATCACTCTACATTTTGTAATGACCTGAGGTAACTGGGGATAGAGATGGAGGAACAGATGGCAAAAACAGGTATAGCCATGCCTATATTAACAATAATCCCCAAAATTATGGAAACTAACAAAGGATTAAGTCAATGATATACATACAACATTTGATCTACATTAGTAAGTGAAATAAAACATTTGTAAAACTCTATGAAATTACCCTTTTAAATAAACAAAATAGTTTATGTTTATCAAGACCAACAACATTAATCTTTGGGAAAAGGTTTTACACAGTCCTTTCCAAATGTGAATGATGGTTTCCCATAAATCAGTGTATTGAAAGGACCTGAAGCTGGATATGCATAGCATTGAGTACCTTGTGATGAGCTTGTATAAACATTTAAACATCCAAACACAGTTTTATATGCTTTGAGATTAGCAAACATAAGCAAAACCTGTAAATTTATGTGTTGTTTTCATTTTGTTACTAAAAATACACTTCAAATTTCTATCAAGTTAAAAAAAACAATTTAATAAAAGTAACAGTACAAAAGAATTCTTAAAACAATAGACTTAATATATTAATGGCCAAGGGGGGGGTCTTGTTTCTGGCTCTTGGCTACAGTGAAGGTCTTAGAACAAGCCATTTTGCACAGCTTTGTAAGTAACTAATATAATCTTAAACTACAATTTATTGGGAAAAAAACATCTATTAGCAACAAGTTCCTCCCTGTGGAGAATAGCTCACCTATCATCTTAAGGTATGTCTCAGACCCTTTTCCCATTGTAAAAGCTAAATCCTTTAAAAAAAGAGTCATTCCATTATTCATGCAAATAGAGACGGGCATTCTTGCTTGGTTGCACCTTTTCATCAAGGTTGTTGTTACCTTCTCCATTTACTCAGCAGTACCAGAGCATTATTAGAGAAATGCACTAGAAGCTTTTGCAAATGATATGACTATTGTCCTACTAATATTATTTATGTTATTGTTAATAGCTAAAAGATCGTCAGAAAATTTTACCATGAGTTATAATACGAACATGGTACACAGACTCATTCACAATAGAAGAACTTAAAGTGAAAGCCATGCCTTTCAGGAGAAGCAAACCCATACAAACTTCCTGGGGGGTGAGTACTACTTGATCTAAACCCAGCAAGACACTATCTTTCCCATGCCTGTGCCTGGCTCAGGAATAAGCACTTGACACAATTCTAACCAGAGAATTAAGGCCATATCCCAAGGTGTCCTCGCTCTCAAAGAAACATAGGTAGCTACTGTCTCCTTCAGAGATATATCTAGCTCAAGACCAGTCTAAGGAAACTATCAAAACAAGGAAAGCCCTGGCTGGTATAGCACACTGGGCTGAGCACCAGCCTGTGAACTGAAAGGTGGCTGGTTCAACTGCCAGTCCAGGCACATGTCTGGGGGGAGTTGTAAGACGCAATCATCTATGTTTCTTCTCTCCTCATTCTCTCTCTATTCTCCTCTCTCTAAAAACAAATAAATGAAATCTTTTGAAAAAAGGAGGAATCTAGAAAAGAGAAGCAAAGCCCTAAATGCCACAAGTTCCCATCATCCTGTCTTGGGTCTCCCTGCTACATGAGATAAGCAACTCCCTGTACTAAATTGATCTGAATAAGGGTTTTTTTGTTGTTGTTATCTCTGGAGAAACCCTAACTGCTGTCTTTCCTTTTCCAGGTTGAAATATTTCTATTTGCTTTCACACTTGTTTGGCTGGCTACAGAATTTGAGGTTCAAATCACTTGACTCGGAACTCGGAAAGAATTGCTTAGTTAGTGGTACCACATCCTTTCCTGCTCAAAGTAGGTTTTTCATCAGTGTGGCTTCATTCTTTATGAATGACCTGGTTTCCTCTCTAGAACCAAATGATTTTTCCCCCTGATCCTTAGGGCACTGAAATTTTATGAGGGGACTCATTTTTGAGACTTTCCTTCTCTTTTCACTTCAAGTCCGATGGCAATAGATGACTCAGTCTATTCTTTCTTGTGTCTCACAGACAGAACCTTCTTTACAATGTACAAGACTAACAACCCTTGTAATCCAATTTCATTGAAAAATTTACTTTAGCAATTACATTTCATCATTTCCTAGAAAACTCTCCTCCAATTGTTCCCTTTCACAAGTATATCTAGTACTTGTTTCATGAATGTAATGGGAAGTGTCAGTATGTTTGCACTGCAGGAATCTGTTGATAAATGGCCTCTTAGTTTTCCAACCTTTTACTGTAATCTCAATAGAATCTAAGAGAATATAAAATACTAAAATGTATGATGTGGCTGTCATTTTAAAACAGAAACATTTATATGTCCAATTCCAATTTTGCACTTTTTAAAAATATTATATCTATCTTTTTTTTAATGTTTTTTCTTTTTATTTATTTTTCGAGAGGAGAAGGGAGAGAGAAAGAAAGGGAGAGAAACATGAATGCCTGGTTGCCTCTCATGCATCCCTGACTGGGGACCTGGCCTGCAACCCAGGCATGTTCCTGACTGGGAATCCAACACATGGCCCTTTGGTTCGCAGGCCGGCACTCAATCCACTGAGCCACTGTCCTGTAGAGCAAAAGGTCACCAGTTTGATTCCTTTCAGACACATAGCGGGGCTGTGGGTTCAGTCCCCCGTTTGGGTACAAGAAAGGAAATGGACAGAGGTTTCTCTCTTTCACCCTCCCTGCCCCACTCTCTAAAAATAAATAAATAAAATCTTTTAAATTATTAAAAAAAAAACTTGTCACGGCCTTTATGTCAATGCTAAACAATTTGTAGCATTCTACTATCTTCATTTTTCCTCCCATTCTTACTTGTGTTACTTCATTTATTTATTTTTAAAGACTTTATTTATTTATTTCTAGAGAGAGGGAATGGGAGGGAGAAAGACAGGGAGAGAAACATGAACCTGTGTTTCCCTCTAACAGGCCCCCAAACAAGGACCTGGATCTCACAATCCAGGAATACATGCCCTGAGTGGGAAGTGAACCAGTGACCTTTCGGTCTATAGCCAGCGCTCAATCCACTGTGCCATACCAGCCTGGGCTTGTATTGTTTCATTTATTTTTAATCTTACAATTTATATATGTTTCGATATATGCTCAAAAAATTGAAAAAATAAAAAATTGAGACCTAAAAACATGACAATAGTACTATACTTTCTTTAGTATATTTTGCAGGAAATTGGAAAAGAAAAAGACAGTTGTACGCAATCAAGTATAACAGATGTTCAAGTTCCAAACCCAACTCGGGCGTGACTGACAACAGCTCACTGACAGGTGGAAAGTAAAAATAAAACAATATATAATGATTCAAACTTAATTTAAATGTAGCCCAGGTGACTGAATGTTTGTCAACAATATTTTAAAAAACGCACTAATCATGAACAAAAAGGAAAGTCCAGAAGTCTTACTTCTTAATCACAAAACGAATCCTTTCCTTTGCAAGTAATATTCTCTCAAGGCGAGGAATTCCGTAAGTAGACGGCCTTCTAAAAGGAATCCCTTCCGGGAGTCCTTCTACATAAAGATCTTCAACGTGCGACTGGAAGAGAGGGTATGGGATCGTCACAGGACCTTTGGCTTTTATAGCTTGAGCTTTAGGGATAAAAAGAGAAAGAGAACAATCATTAAATGACAAGGATTAAGCACAAAATACTGGAATATGTATTCCTCTGGCACTTTTATAAAACTTCTTTTTCTTTTAAAGATTTTATTTATTTATCTTTAGAGGGGAAGGGAAGGAGACAGGGAGAGAAATATCACTGTATGGTTGCCTCTCATGTGTCCCCTTACAGGGGAACTGGCCTGCCTGCAACCCAGGCAATATGCCCTGACCAGGAATCGAACCACGATCCTTTGGTTCACTGGCCCGAGCTCAATCCACTGAGCTACACCAGCCAGGGCACTTTACTTATGCTGCAGAAGAAATAAAAGGAAAAGAACACCAAAGATGACAATGCTCTATGTAACTGAATCTGTAATGAACTGAAGTATATTTCGCACTAATGCAGATATAGTCAGACTTTCTACTGAATCTGAACCAAAAATGAACCCAGAAGAACATGTCGGGTAATCTCAGAGAATGCATACAGTACGTGATGAAAGAGGAGTATTTTTTAAACCTTTAAAACACAGGGGGTAAGAATTTAAAAAAACAGAAACAGAAGATTTAACTGAAAAGTCTACTAGATTTATTTACCCAAGAGGAAAATAATACAACAGCTTCAAAAATGAAAAGCATGGGGAGTCTTAAGAATTAAATACACTCAATAATATCATAGTAACTTTATATGGTGACAGACAGATAATAGACTTATCATGGTGATGGTCACTTTGTAATACATAAATGTCAAAGCATTATGCCATACACCTGAAACTAACGTAATAATGTATGCTAACTATGCTTAAGTTAAAAAAGAATGCACTATAATGAGTAGACCTTGATTTTATTAAAAAAACTATAAAGGGTCAGTTTTTCTGAATAGGAGACATTTAAGTATCACTGGGTATTAAATATGCTTTTATATGTGAAAAGAGAAGTGAGATTAAGACAATGCCTTCTTCTCACCCAACTCCCTCTCTGAAACAGACTTTCGAGAGATGAAATGACATGATATTTGGGACATTGGAGTTTTAAAATATTCTTGCATGAAAAAGACATGGGACAAAGAAGGACAAAAATACTGTAAAATGTTAAAGGCTGTTGAACTTGAGTGATGAATATTTAGAGGGCCTTTATTCTTTTGTTTTTGTTTGGAAATTTTCATGATAAAAAGAAATTAAGAACTATTAGTATGTTCAAGCATAATACAGGCACATTTATAGTTAGCATGAAAATTTCCACAGGCAACCTTTTTGTCACTAAGTAAAACAATGCCAAATTGTCTATGACAACCGACACATACCACACACATTCCATTCTTCTTTCAAAGGCTTCTGTCTCCAGACACATACCACACACATTCCATTCTTCTTTCAAAGGCTTCCATCTCATTTAACTCACACAGCACAGCCACCTACAATGCTTTCTAGTAGCTGAAAGAACAGCGGAGATGCTTCTGACCCTGCCCAAAAGGCCCCAAACCAAACACGACTCCTGGGGATTCCACTCAACCTCTCCATCCTCAGGAATGATGTGAGAATAGTCCAAATTTTTTTGCTAGTATTTTACATAAAAGTCTATTCGCTACATGGTAATATTTGTATTAAAGTTTCAAGTCTACCATATTACTTATTAATAATGAGTTAGATTGAATATCTTTGTTGATATCCTACACCTGAAAATCATATTCACATTTAACAATGAAAATAGCTTCCCCTGAGGCAATCATCATGTTATACTGCTTCCTGTGTAGAACATGTTATCAGTTTTTACCTTTTTTTTTTTTAGATTTCATTTACTTACTTTTAGAGAGAGGGGAAGGGAGGAAAAATAAAGAGTGAGAGAAACAGCCATTGGTTGCCTCTCACATGCCCCCGACAGCCCAGGCTTATACCAGGAACTGAACTGGTGGTCTCTCACTTTGCAGTACTATACTCAACCAACTGAGCCACACTGGTCAGGGCCAATATTTGTTCTGAAGTGGACCAGTTAAAATCACTAGGAAAACACTCTGACCATTGAAAAGTGAGATAAGCCCTGGCAGCCGTGGCTCAGTGGACTGAGTACAACCTGAAAGGTCCTCAGATGCATTCCTGGTCAGGGCACACGCCTGGGTGGTGGGCCGAGTCCCCATTTGGGGGTGTGCAGAGGCAGACAATTCATGTTGCTCTCCCTCTTGTCCTCCTTTTCCTTCCTTTCTCTCTAAAATGAATGAATGAATGAATGAATGAGATGAATACTGAGAGAACCTTAAACAAAAAACAACTGAAAATTTGAAGAAGTAAATTATTTCATTATTCAATTTACTCCCATTCTAAATCTGGAGGTTCATTCATAATAAATAGAGAAATGTTAATTTCAAGATCATTGAAGTAAATAATGCCAATGTGGCATTATCATTTAAATACTTAGAAAAATTCAGTCATACAGAATAGCACCACAGAAATTAGATTTCCAAGTTAGGTCAGTATATTATACAATATTACTTACAGTCGATAGCAAAGAATCCTCCAAATAACAAAAACAAAAACCACAGGAAAACATGTATTTAAAAATAATCACTATTTTTATTTATTTTTCTTATTATCATTACCACCTTACATGAGGACATTTTCATTGCTTTTTAATTTTTATTTTTTAAAGATGTATTTATTGCCCTGGCTGGTGTAGCTCAGTGCACTGAGCACGGGCCTGCAAACCAAAGGGTTGCTGGTTCAATTCCCAGTCAGGGCACATGCCTGGGTTGCGGGCCAGGTCCTCAGTAGGGGGTGTGTAAGAGGCAACCACACATTGAGTTCCTCTCCCTCTCTTTCTCCTTCCCTTTCCCTCTCTCTAAAAATAAATAAATAAAACCTTTACAAAAAGATGTATTTTTTTTTTCCAGAGAGAAGGGAAAAGAAAGAGAGAAACATCAGTGTGTGGCTGCCTTTCATGACCCCATCTGGAGACGTCTCACAACTCAGGCGTGTACCCCAATGGGAAACCAGACCAGCGACCCTTTGGTTCACAGGCCAGTGCTCAATTCACTGAGTCACATCAGGGCTCATTTGTTTCTTTTTTTTGGAGAGAAAGAGGAAGAGAGACGGAGAAACACTGGTGTGAAAGAAGCATCAGTTGGTTGCCTTTGTATGCACCCAGACTGTACACATCTGGACTGGGGGTCACGAGTGTCTGCCTGCACAGAGGATGAACTTGCAACCTCGGCATGTGCCCTGACCGGGAATTGAACCCACAGCCCTTTGGTTGCAGGACAATGAATGCTCAACCCACTGAGCTACTCCTGCTGGGGCTCTCACTACTTTTTAGGTGAGCATCTGATATATACCATCAGATGATGACTAACTGCTTGTTTCTTTTAGTACTATATAGAGAATAGTAAAATACAACAAAGAACTTGTGATCGATCTAACTTAAAGCCAGTTACGTACAAGATGAGAAAATAAGAACATCTACAAGAATACGGAATTTAACACAACAGATTAAGATAGAGTAGTAGTATTTAAGAAAGTAATCTTCAATTAAATCCCTAAGATCTAAAACTTGCAACATATCCGGATGAAGTGGTCAAATGTTGGTATGAAAAACAATGCAATTATTAATAAATAATACAAGAATAAACTCTGCCCCTGACTGGCGTGGCTCAGTGGGTTGCATGTTGCCCTGGAAACCAAAAGGTTGCCGGTTTTATTCCCAGTCAGGGCACGTGCCCGCGTTGCAGGCCAGGTTCCCAGTTGGGGGAATTCGAGACGCAACCACCAATGTCTCTCTCCGAGTCTTTCTCCCTCCCTGCTCCTCTCCGTAAAATTAATTAAATAAAAGAAAATCTTTAAAAAAAGAAATTCTTTCACATACAACTGTCAACCTATTTCCCTCCTGTTGAATATAAATAAACTCCCAAATATATACGCTGAAAGTTTAAAAGAAATGCTTATTGAAACCTAAAGAGAAAAAACTTTCTCTAAACTTTGAAGAAATCTAGAAACAAAGACTGTGATATCTGGACGGACACTATCCAATAATCTTTCAGGGGGCAGATAGGTAAGCAAGGCACAGTTTACTAACAGAGCTGGACCTTCTCACGTTAGAGCATCAGTAACTCCATTCTGAACAACCTATGAACAAGCCACAAGCCCTGGCTGGGTACGGCTGGGTAGCTCAGGCAGTTCTAGTGTTGTCCTGATGCACTAAGGTTGCAGGTTACATCCCTGGTCAGAGCATATGCAAGAATCAACCAATGAATGCCGAAGTAAGTGAAACAAGAAATCCATGTTTCTCTCTTCCTTCCCCTGTCTCTCTAAACTCAATCAATTTAAAAAATTTTCAAAGAACATGTATGAACAAAATATTACAAGAATTTTTCAGTTTAGACTCACCATATTTTCTTTCAAACAACTCTTCGACTTGTTTGCGTAGATCAGTAATCCGAGCATTCCATTTCTCTGAAAATTGAAAGTTAAATCTCAGTAAGAAACCCCTCTTTGGGGGTAGTAACAAGTTCTGAGGACTACCTAAGATCTAAAAACTTTTCCTACATAACATATTCTAATTTTTTAATAATCTATTTTCCTTTATATAATTTTATTGCTCTCTTAAAAATTTTTTCCT